GACTCCCTGCCGAGCAGGGAGCCCGATGCGGGACTCGATCCCGGGACTCCAGGATCATGACCTGAGCCGAAGGCAGTCGCCCAACCAACTGAGCCCACAGGCGCCCCTGATTTCTTTCATAAGTGCTACTTTTCAAAGAGCAGGTTGCAACCCATTAGAATTCACAGCTAACATTAAAAAAAAATGAAATAAACGGGCGCCTGGGTGGCTCAGTTGGTTAAGCGACTGCCTTCGGCTCAGGTCATGATCCTGGAGTCCCGGGATCGAGTCCCGCATCGGGCTCCTTGCTCGGCGAGGAGTCTGCTTCTCCCTCTGACCCTCTCCCCGTCATGCTCTCTCTCTCTCAAATAAATAAATAAAATCTAAAAAAATAAATAAATAAATAAATGAAATAAACGGAGGCACGTGGGTGGTGCCAAGTTGGTTGAGCATCCAACTCTTGGTTTCGGCTCAAGTTGGGATCTCAGGGTTGTGAGATCGAGCCTTGCATCAGGTTCCGTGCTCAGCGCGGAGTTTGCTTAACACTCTCCCTCCCCTTGCCCCTCCCCCCAACCTCTGTAAAATTAAATCTTTAAAAAAATAAAAAATAAAAAAATGAAATAAACAGAGCAAAAAAAATCCAAATGCATCCACAGAGTAAGGATGAATATTGCTTTGTGACACTTTTACTTCCATTAAATAGACCGTATTTCCTACTCTGAGTCACAGAGAAGCGTGACTGTTAAGTGTAAGGCATTCAGTTTTCTCTATCTGACACATCTTACTGCAATGGGACCTGCCTGCCAATCCCACCCCAACTCGTGGGTGTTCTCCCGACCACAAGTCCTCATAAATGTTCACGTCTCTCTCTGATCTCCAGGTGCTTTTACTTCTCTCAACCGTCCCAGACTCGCCCTTGGCAAGACTTTGCTGATGCACCTGCTCAGCTGAAGCCTCTTTATCACGCCATGCCTCTAACCCCTGGTGCGTCGGTCACCCTGTCCCATGCTCACACCTCTTGCAGCGCGCTCACAGGGCTCTAACCCACAGGGCTGCCTGTTGCAGCAAAAGACAAGGTCTTTCCACCTGGGCAGCACCCCAGGCCCGCCTCCAGCTCAGACAGAACCCCTCCCTCATTCCCCCTGCACTTTTCCTTCCCCTCACCTTCCGCTGCGCCTGGTCACTTCTTCGCTGGAAGGAGTCCTCTAGCTCTTTTTTCTCTCGTTCCAAATCCGCCTGGGCTTGCCTGGCCACGGACACCTGTTTGGTCACCTCTGCATTCTGTAGGGGAGGAACAGTGTCTTGAACTGGCTTATCTCAGGTTTAACAACTCGGGGACAACAACTACTTCTAGAACAAATGACAACATTCAGACAGCTGGACACAGAAATCACTTTTCTACCCAGAGAGAAGCCAGAATAGAGATGTCATCTTCAGATATTCGACGCTCAAGAATTTAAAAGAACAGGGGCAACTGAGTGGCTCAGTCGGTTAAGCGTCCGAGTCTTGATTTTGGCTCAGGTCATGATCTCGGGGTCATGAGATTGAGCCTTACATCAGGCTCTGCGCTGGGCGTGGAGCCTGCTTGGGATTCTCTCTCTCCCTCTAACCCTTCCCCCCAACCCCGCTCTATCTCTCCCTAAAAATAAATGAATAAATAAAATAAAAGAATAATAAAGATGGCGGATAATCCAATCAGGGCTGACATCAAAAGTCAAGACATGGAAGGCCAGCGAGCCTGAAAAGCAGTGGTTTCCATGAAATGATGGTGACCCACTCAGAATTGGTGGGGACAATGGAGCGGCGGTGTCTCCTGCGTTGTGGGGACAGCGCACGGTGCAGGGTCCTACCTTCCGCAGCAGGTCAGCGTGGTTCTGCACCAGCTCACTGTACTTTTCCTTTAGCTTGCTGTACCGCTGTTCATTGGCTTGGGCTCTCCCTGTATTGTCAAGAGCCAAGGTGAGCAGTCTACCCCTGCTGGGACCCTGTGCCTTCCTTCCATAAGCCAGAATCCCTAGAACAGCCTTCCTCCTTTTCACAAATGCAAACACCTTCTACGCCCTCAAAAATCCTACTGAAATAAACTCCTCTTCATCGGTGTTTCTGGCGTTAGGCTATCTCTCCTTCGGAGACCCTGTCCCCCAGGCAGATACCCCACTGTCACCTCCTGGTTCCCGTCCCCGCATTCTGAGCCCGTGGGGCTCTCCACTGGCTGGGCTCCCACCCGCCCCTCAGACTGGCGACATGAAGGTCCTTCCTGGTGGCTCTTCTGGACAGAAGCACGGCTGGGGCTCTGCCACCCAGCCCCATCCTTCCCCCTGAGCCTCGCCTGACTCTGCAGCCCCCGCCTTCAGCCCCAGCCTAACGGACTCACTTTCTATCTCGGTCAGGCTCCGCTGGGCCTTCTCCGTGTCTTCGCGCTTCTTCTTGAGCTCGTCCAGCTCGGCCCGGAGAAACTCGCTGTCATCAGCCGCCTGCTGCCGCAGATGTTGCTGTTCCGCAAGTTCAGCCTCCAGCTCGCTGACCCGGCCCTTCAGCTGCAGCACGGCCCGCTGGCTCTGTGGGACGGACTCGGCCAATGAGCCCCAGCGCTGGGCCGCGGGGCTGGGCTGGGCAGGAGAAGCAGGTCCTCCCAGGCTTCTAGCACTGATCCAATGAATACCCATGTTTGCCTAACAAACCCCCCCCGCCCCCACCAAGGGCCTCATGAGAGTTGAGGCTTCTGGTCATTATAAGCCACCGGCCAACAATGGCGTGACGGCAGGAGGACTCTGGTCTTGTTGGAGTGGCCTGGGAGCAGTCCTGGACGAGCGGGCACGAGGGAAGAGGGGATGTTTGCCTGCCCCCGTGAGTGAAGCCCGACCAGCCATGGGCCTGGGGGGCAGTCCTATTTACCGCTCCAGACCCCACAAACAGCCATGAGAGTTACAAATCAGACCTTCCGATCGCCACGGGAGGAGAACAGGTCTTCCTCACTGTTGGCTTCACAGCCAGCCGGCGGTCATGGTTAACTCAAGAACCAAAGGGAGACAGGGCTTGGCTCAGAAGTCATTCTTAAGGTAGGAATGACGGAAATGCAGCACCACCAAGACCATGGAAGGACCAGGGCCTTCTGGCTTTCGAGTTTCTACTAATGAGCACCCCCGCCATCCCCCTTAAAATGTGGTCCGACAAGTGTCTCTGCGAATATGAACATGCCACGGCGAAGCCCAGAACTGGATCAGAGCCCGACTCATACCTCAGTCTTCATGTTCTCCAGCTGTGCCTTCAGCTCACTGACTTCTCTGTATAGTTGACCAATTAAGTGATCCCTGGGAACAGAAGGAGAACAAGTTTGCTTCCACTGTGCTTCCATCCCTTTCCTTTTAAATGCGAGCTGGGAAATCAGGGGAGGAAGTTAAAAGCTGGTGTTAATTTGGGGAAAGGTTTTTGAAATTCCATACATTATATGCTAAGACCCTCCGTGTCACTGGATCCGAATCTAACACCCATGGGTTATTTCAACCTCATCTGATCTCCCTCTGGGATTCCAGGGGCCGATATTTGAGCATTGCGACACTTCTCTGCGGGGCCCAAGTGTCACTGAGCATCCCGCCCTGGTCGGGGGTGGCCAGCCAGACCCCGGCTTCATGTAGGTTCTGCACCACCTGCCTGCTCCCAGTGTGGACTCACTTCTCATCCTTGTTCACGCCGTTCTGACTGTTGAAATTGAAGGGGTCACTGCTGAATGAGCTGCCAAAGATGTCATCAAACTTGTTGTCAAATAAATTCTGTGGTGACCAAAAAGGAGCGAGGACAAAGTTAGAGATCCAGAGACTTCTGTACGGGGCTCAGAGGAGTGAGATGTAAAAAAAAAAAAGGGATCCTTTCTTAACTGGGTTCAAGTCCATCTGTGGTCCCTCTTAGAGACCGCAGGGCAGGGGCCTCAGTCTAGGTTAGCGCTTCGGTTAGAAGTTGGTCCAGCTTGGTGACAGCCAAAGGGTCTTGGTCAGAGCCTCTCCCCTGCCCATATGGGGCAGCACGAAGGGCCGCACGTGGGGCTCACCACCTGCTGTCACCCTAACCCTAACCTAATCCTAACCCTAACCCTAACACGTGGGGCTCGCCCCCTGTCACCCTAACCCTAACCCTCGGGTTCCAGTGGAGGTGCTCCTCACCTGCTGGGAGGCATCCATGTCCACGAGGTCATCCTTCTCCAAGACGGGCTCGCTGTCCGGGGACGAGGCCTCGGCCGGGATGACCACCACAGGGCTGATGTGTTCTGACAGCGCAGAGGCCCGCAGGAAGTTGGGTGGGTTCTGAGGAGGGAAGACACCCCCCCAAACCGTGTCACCCGCCAGTCCTGCCCGTCTCTGAGATCTGAGAGCACCCAGGACCCGGCAGCTCCCACGGCAGGGCCGGGCGCACGTACCTCAGGCAGTTGAGGGATCTGAATGAGCCGCTTGAAGTACTGGAGGTTGCTGGAGCGGTAGAACAGATCTTTCAACCTGGGGGTGGAGAAGGGCCTGAGGGGTGCTGGGCACCTCCCCGGCCCTGGGGTGGGGACAGTGCAGCCCCCCAGCTGTCCTGCTGCCCGCCCAGCCCAAAGGCGCGGGCTATCAAGGAAATGACCTCCATGGCACTGGGATTCGATTGTGACGCTGCAGGGGGAGGTTATCTGGAGCCTGTCCTCACTTACGTGGTGGTAAGGAAAGAGGGATTCAAAGGACAGAATCCTCTGGAAGAGTGGATCCCCCCAGAACAAATTTCTGCATCGCTGTGGAATCTATGCTGTTGCATGGCAGATGTCTTCCCAGGAACATTTGGCTTAGAATAACATGAAAATAAATGTACTCTCTCTGAGGATACGCGACCTAACCACGGGCATGGGGAAGGAAACGTCATTACTGAGGGAGATCCCTTTGTTTTGGAGCTCTGTGTTATCTCCCCAGTTAGACTAGAAGCTTCCAGAGGGCGGAGACTGGGCCCTGCTGAGCTGGGCTTGCCAAGGAACCACGCACAGAGGAATTAACTCATCAAGCCTTCACTGGAGAAAAGCAATCTATTTATACTGTGTCCCAATCTTGGATGGGTATGGGAATGAAGAAACCAATTTTTTTTCTCATCTTCGGGTCTCCATTTTGAATCAAAACATGGAAAGCTGAGGAAGCAGAGAGCATCAGACAGATTTCCTGAGAGGAGAGCGGATGGTGGGTCTCTGCGCCCTCTCCCTGCACCCTACAATCTCCTCCAGCTCAGCCCAATACACTAAACCCCTGGGATCTCAGGCCAGCCCTTCTGACCCCAAGGTTGGGGTTGCCCCTGTCAGGTCATTGGCACTTTCCCCGAATTCGGGGACACTGAGGCCTCAGGGAGCCGCCGGGTCTGTGCAGACGAGAGAGTGAGGCAGCTGCTCACGGGAGAGGGTTTTATAAGCTAGAAAAAAATGAAAGGAAATAAAATCACCTGACCACACATCCCCCTCTTTCTGGGCTGGAGCCAACAGTAATAGGCTGCTTTGCTTTCATAAGCTACTGGAATTTACCATTCCAGGAAATCAGCCCCAGGGCCTGTCTCCTAGGATTTAATAAGTCATTTATTATAGAATAAACATATAAGGCTTTTCAAATGGAATAAGGAAACCGGGAGGTTAGGACAACCCTGAACTTGGCCTCTGACTGCTGCCCGGGGAACCAGCAAGAGAAGTCTGAGCTTGGGGTTTGGCAGCTATGCTTTTTCTCTGTTGTCAGGGCTGAAGAAACTAACAGGCAAAACAGGAGGGTCAAAGAGAGCATGCTGAGCCCCAGGGCTCTTCTCGGCACCTGGGCTCTCTCTCTCATGCCATTCCTTCCCCTCTTCCTTGGGCACACGTAACCAGTGATGAACTGTACGTCTCCCCTCGCCGGCAATCTTCTTCCCCAAATGCACAGAATAATTTACCCCTCAGTCAGACAAACTCTCCTCTTCTAGACAAGACAGCTGGCTTACTAGTTTAGTAATTTATCCAAATATTTATGCGTAATTGGCTGCTACGTATCAGGGGCTAGGGATGTAATAATGGAGAGTCAGGCATAAATAAAGCTGTGCTAAGAACCATGAAAGAAATAAATTAGGTGCTGGGCTGAAGAATATGGGGGCGCGGAGGTGGGGCTGGAGGAACAGGAGATGAAGAAGACCCGACTTAAATAAGAGATTTAAGGCCAGAGATGCTTTTGTGAGGAGGTGACCAAAGATGACCCAGAGCCGGCCAGGCTGGGAGAAGAGCCTCACAAAGAGAGGGAACAGCAAGCACTAAGGCCTTGATGGAGAAATGAGCTGGGAACGTTCCAGGAACTGGAAACGGACCCCATGTGGTGGAAACACCATAAGCCCTAAACACAATAAAGATAAGGTCAAAGATAGCAAGCAGGGCCTTGGAGACCATGGAGAAGAGCTTGGATTTTCTTCTCAGTGTAATCAGAAGCCACTGAAAGGCTCTGAGCAAGGGAATGACGTCTTTATGAGGTTGTTCTAACTGCTGGGGTGGGGGGACAAGATTTCAGGGGGCAAGGGTGGAAGCAGCCCAGGGCATCCGCCATATTGGAGGGTCGTGGCACAAAACGATGGTAGCCCCAGAGATGGCAGCTATGACTGGAGCCAAGATATATGTGCAGAGCATCTGCCACTGGAGTGGACATGGGAGAGGAGGACAATGGTGAGTTCCAGATCTCTGGCCTAAATGGATGTGGTAGCATTTACTGAGATAGAAAGGGCCGGGAAGGAAAAATTTGTTTTTTTTTGTTGTTTATTTATTTATTTTGAGAGAGAAAGAGCATGAGGGGGAGAGGGAGAGAGAATCTCAAGCAGACTCCCCGCTGAGCGCAGAGCCCAATGAGGGGCTCGATTCCACCACCCCGCCATCACGACCCAAGCCGAAACCAAGAGTTGGACGCTCAATCAACTGCGCCACCCAGGCACCCTGGGAGAAAAAGTTTGCGGAGGAAAACCTAGAGCTCAGTTTGAGATGTAAGACAGATAATTGGGTGCGTGAGACCCAATTCAGAGGCAAGGCTCAGTCAGCTAGAGATACAGATCTGGGTGTTGCGTTTCACGCACATGGACCATACGTGGTATGAGAACGTAGGGAGAAGAAAGAGAGGATGAAGCCCGGGGCATAGAGCAGGTGATGAATGAATGGATGAAATCACCTTCTCCGACATGCTCGTGTGGACTTTTTTAGAGAACGGATAGCTTCGCCAGCAGTGGTACATTTACTGCCGTCCTCGTCACCTTCCTCCACTCTACTGCTTTACTCTGCCGATACCCTCATTCCTCAATCATTTTAAAACAAGTGCTCTTGTGTGGACTAATCAAGTTTATAGCATTCGTTTCTCTCACTTAAGCCACTTACTTGGTGAATTGCTCCATGAAACGATCCCGGTGGCCTTGCAGGGTGTCGGCTGGGAGACCTGGAAGAAATTGGGAAAAGAGTGAGAGGGAAGAGGACCACAGGAGGACCAGGCGAGCCACAGCGGGGCTCTGGAGGGAGAGGACCATCCACCCTGGGGCTTGTGGCCAGCCTGCCAGGCCTACAGCTGCCCCAGGAACAGGGACTGGTAACCAAGGGGGCCCAGAAGGGCCAGCCATGAGTCTAGGGGTGCTTCTCCTCCACATCTGTCCTTCTGTTTGTTCCTGCAGCATGAGCCATTCTGGGTGCAGTGGGCTGGAAGTTGTGTTCCTGACCACGGAAGACACCGTGGTGACCTGACCAAGCAGCAGGACGGACCCCCAGCAGGTGGCAGAGGTGTGGCTCTCTCAGAAGTACGTGCACTGGGTCGGTCCAGCACAGACGTTAATCTGCGAGGGATCCATAGAGCCTGCACGAGAGGATGCCTGCCAGAAGGCAAAGATTATAGGACAACACTCAGGATCCCAGTCCGGTGCTCACTCGGTCACGGCCAACGGCAAGATGCTGGACAAGCAACAGCCTCTTAGACCAGCCCCCTCTCCTACAGAGTGGGTTCTCTGAGGTCCCTTCTCTTCCCAGAATGCATGACGCTGCATACTTCAACTATAGATCACAACTTGGTGATCCCTTTATTTCTTGTCTTGTTCCTTAAACGTACATTTTAGGAATTTTTTTTAATTAACATAAAATGTATTATTTGTTTCAGGGGTACAGGTCTGTGATTCATCAGTTTTACATAATTCACAGCGCTCACCATAGTACATACCCTCCCCAGTGTCCATCACCCAGCCACCCCCAGCCCTCCCACTGCCCCATTTTAGGAATTTTTGAATAGGAATACATTTACTTGGTACAAAGAGGGAGTACGTGTATAAACATACGATAATTCAAAATGCCCACCAAAACGGTGGATGATGATGGCACTTTATCTCAGTGGCCTCTCTCCCCAGAACCCTTAACCCCAGTCCAGTCATGAGAAAAACACCGGGCAGACTTAAATCAGGGGACATTCTACAAGTGTCCGACCAATTCTCGAAACCATCAAGGTTGTCAAAAACAGGGAAAGTCCGAGAAACTATGACAGCCAAGAGGAGGTTAGGGAGACACAATGACCCAATGTAATGTGGTGTCCTGGATGAGACGTTAGGTAAAAACCATGGAAATCTGAATAAAGTAGGGACTTCAGTTGATAATAATGTATCAATATCGGTCCATTCATTGTGACAAATGTATCATATTAATGTAAGATATTAACAATAAAGGAAACTGGGTTCAGGGTATGGGGGGACACTTCCTCAGCGATCTTTACAACTTTTCTGTAGATCTAAACTATTCTAAAATGAAACCTTCATTTTTAGAGAAGTATATATTGTGCAGGATAACTGCCTTTCTTCCCTTGGGATTCAGTCTGCTCTCTGCCCCTCTGGGTGCGCTCACTTGTCCAAAGCCTTCCTAACACTTAAACATCCGATTCCAACCTCCCTTCCACGAGATGCTCCTGGATTAACCCGAGTGATGCCGCTTCCTGTCCCCCCTAAATAACCAGACCCACTTCTTGTCAGTGACCACAGTTCTAGACTATCCCTTGTCCCTGTCTTCCGACATGCATCCTTGTCCCTTTGCCAGGGCCGTAACACCTTGCTTGTATCCACTCAGGTCTTGATTTTTCTTGGTTCTCCCTCATCCATACATTCTGCACGTGTATATCCCTCATGGGGAACGCCTCTGAGTGTGGACCAGAAACCACCCAAATCAGCTTCACCTGGGGTATGGTTTCACCATGCACTGGACCTACTGGACCCACCCACAGCAGACCCCACAGGAGCAGGACCCACACACATTGTATAAACAAGAAGCACACAAAAGTATAAGAACTCTACAGTAGTTTCCAAGATAGGATCTGCAAAAGCATCCCAGGGACCTGTGGCTGGGTAGGGGCTGGCCCACCATGTACGAGAGCAGCTCTGTTTTGTTTTCTATTTCCCCATAAAGTTCCACATGTCCAGAGAAGCTGCGTGGATGAACACTTTGGAGACCACTGTCCTTGCACCTGTGGGTCCAGGCTGGGCCTGGTATCATTCATGTGGGTCCTAGAATACATGACACGTGTGGACGGAGATGTGACGAAGCCAGAGGTGGAGGGAGGGAGCTGTCCCAGGACACTGCTATGGAGAGCCAGGTGCTTCCCTGGGCACAGCAAAGCTTGTGCCCTGCTCCTCAAGGGGGTTGGGAGCTCTAGGAACTTTGGGAGCAGTGGCAGAAAGGACACTGAAAGGACAGCCTCTGGCTGTAATCCTCCTTCCAGCCAGAGGCGCACAGAGAAGATCCGGCCCATTGTACTCACAGGAGTGGAGTTTGAAGAGGAGCTTGACAGTGTAATCATACAGATGACTGCAGTCCAGTATGACCTGGATCAGCGGGGCGAGACGGCACTGCCCGGCTGCCGTCACGGACACCGAGCGGGACATGTCCAGGGAATTGAACACTAGGGAATAAAGGGGGACACAGGCAGTAGGGGATAAGAAACTGCAGGTGACCTTCTCCGAGGGGCAGAAGACAGGGGTCTGACACACGCCAAGGACCCGCTCTGTGCATATGCTATGTCATCGGACTGCAATTACCCCTTACAACACTCCCGTGGGACAGGTACACATGGGAGGAAACAGGGTGAGTCCCCGGAAGGCAATCACATGGGGAAAATAGCAAACATTAATCAGGACACGAAGGAGGGAATAATTCAGCCCTGGCTTCCTGGAGGCTTGCCACAGGGTCTTGGGACACCAAAAAGGGACACATGCAGGAGCCCTGGGTGCACAGGGCTGAGGATGAACCATCAGGATCAAAGGCTGCTGTCGGTCCCTGGGGGGCAGGTCAGCTGAAGGGCTGCCCTACACTCTCTCGAGCTCCAGACAGCACGTTGCTCCCTCCCTGTCTTGCTCCACAGACCCTTCCACGTTACCCTCTGCTCCCTTGTTCTTTGTTTTTTTTTTTAAAGATTTTATTTATTTATTTGACAGAGAGAGACA